GGCTTCCGAATTATCTCAATTGGTTCTCATTTTTGACTTTTTCACAAAAAAAAAGATCGGTCAAATCTGAACCGCTGGTTCACAACTGTGTGTTTGTTGGTCTTTTTATTTTTTATTGTGCTACCGTCTTCACCCGAATATAACGCCCCGTCATTATAGCCGTATTTGGCACAACTTTCAGCCCAGATACCGCCACGGTAGGGGGTGCTCATAGTCGCTGATTAGGAATGCTCCCTCAGAGTCTGGAGGTGGAGCTCCACCCTGCGAGGGACTGCACAAGGTGGGAGGTGCAGTCCTGTTGAGCGGTGGTGCGCGGTAAGGAGGGCTTGCCTCCTCTGAAGCTGGGGTGATTCAGGGTCGGATCAGCCTCGGCCGTTGGGGCAGAGGGGACAAAGGGTTTGCTGCTGTGTTTTTTTTTTGTTTTTTTTTTATGCAGCGTGTGTGTTGAGTTGGGCCTGTCTTATTTGGAGGGAGTGCGAGATGTGGGACAGGGGGAACTTCAGCTCTGCGAGGGGCATGCTGTTGGGGGAATTGGATGTGGCTGAGGGATTAGGGGCGCGGTAGGGGTCCGCCGCTTTGGGGAATATATGTGGGATAAAAATAATTAATGGAAGAAAGAAAGAAAAGAAAAAGAAGTATATTTGGGATCTCGTGGCAAGCCCGAAAGTTCCTTCAGTACAGATTGTCGGCGGATCAGTAGCTAACCTTCTCTTTTTTTCTTTTTTTTTCCTCTTTTTTTTTTTTTTTTTATTTTTTTTTATTTTTAACAAGACACACAGCTCTTTATTATACCACACAAAAAGAAGGAGGCCGGGAATCCCTCCACACGCAACCCGGAAAATCAAAGAAAGTACTGGGACCATTACCCAGCTTATGGTTCAGGCGAAGGGGATTCTAGTCCAGACACAGAATGGCCAAATCAGGACCGCTGTGCTGACATTCCCCATCCCTGGTAAAATAAAAACGTCACCAAGACCAAGAAAGCCAAACCAGCCAGAAAAGTAAAACCATTAATACCCTAAACATTCTAGCCTCAACCTACATCTATCTACACTCCGGCTACTGTTGCTCCTACTACTGCCCCTAACACGGGGACCTTAATATTACGGACAACTCCCTCCACCAACACACCTAGAAACCACCAATCAACCTACTGCCTGCCTCCCGCGGCCAAGCCGACAAACGAGCGCCAAGGTTGTTACTATAAAATCCAACAAATTATCCCCTAAGACCTAAACCACATCTAAACCAAAAAGAACATCAAAGGAAACTCTACTCACCCCAAGCTATATGCTAGTGCTCCTATCTACAGATCCTGCAGACGCGATTGGTACTCCTGGGATTAATCCTGAAACCACCAGTTGTCGATGGACAATCGCACATCATCTGATACTGTGCAAAGTTGACTGCTCAAGGCCCGGGTTTGTTTGAACCCGTTGAGGCCTGTTCCGGGATTGTGGATATTGGCCACTTTCCGTCTCCTGATGGCCCGGCGTAATTGCGATTTGAAAGATCTTCTGAGTTGCCGATTAGTGGAGTCTGAGCCATGGAAAGTTTTTTCGTTTCTTTCATGCCAGATTACATTGAAACAGACGGCCCTGGCCGTCTGGGCTACATAGCCCCACCCCTTGGTTCTCTGTATCCCCTCCGCAACACCACCCAATAGTGTCCATTCCTTTGTCCAAGCGAAGGCAGGGCCAGAAATGCGAGCCCAGTGCACTTCCCACCATTTCCACACACGGGCTGATGCTGGACAATCCCACCACAAATGGATGGTTGATTCAAACGCCCAGTTACAACGAGAGCAGGTAAGATTCAAAGTCATCCCTTGCTCAGCCAACCACACAGCTGAGGGAGTAGCTACAAGAGATACCAACCACAGCAGGGAAGTGTGCCTTTGATTAGCTATTAGCTTCAATTGAGACCAGCATCCCTTCAAGGCTCTGTCGATCTCATGATCAGGTAACTCCAATAAAAAATTGCAACCATCTAGATCTTGCTGTAACTCGTGGGATTTTCGATGGAGTGAGAACAGCATATCCAAGCTTTATCGAGTAGTCAGCTAATGACACATATGATGCTGTTCTACCGATAGCCGACCATTCACACAGAATAGGGTCCAATCTGAGTTTCAGGACAGGCATTCCGCCCGCTTGTACCCGAAACTGAGGAACTTCGTTTAACGGATCTAAAGCCAAGACTCTTATCTGATGCAGTTGAGAACCTACTACAGGCTGGGAGCCTTCGTCTTCCAGCTGTAGAAGGTCATCGCAAACTTTCCAGCACTCAAACACTCTTTTCCCATCAGGAGCTACAGAAGAAAGTGTCCAAACAACCTCTGGGTTGGGTTGGACCTCTGAGAACCATGTCCCAGGGGGGTCTATCCCTGCTGGGGACAGTAACGCTTTCCACTTTTGTGGGATAGCAGCAATCAGGGTCTCTCTCCTCTCGTCTACCAGACGCAATAGTCTTAATTGACTGCGCAACTCCTCCACTGTTTTCCAATTCCCTAGAATAGGGTCCCATAGATCTAGGATCGTCAGCACCCCTCGTTCGATCCAGGAGCGGCCAAAACTAGAGGGGGCTGAGTCAGCCTTGAACCAGCTACCCGAACTGTCTCTGATATGCACATTCTCGAAAATGGGTTGTACCAAAACCTCTGCTTTCGAAGATGGTTCCCTCCCGAAGGTGGGATGAAATTTTTTCCAGGCCCTGACTATTGGTGCCCAGAAGGGAGACTTGATGTGTCTCCGTTGATACGAATAGAGCAGAAGGCAGTTCCAAACATGCGATGGGCGTGACAAATTCCATTCTCGTGACAAAATCTGTTCAGCAAGATAAACCCAGTGGGGTGTAGGGAAGGCTTGACTGGCCCTAGTAATCCATTGACACAGCATAGCAGAATTCCGACGCTGGGGGTCAAGGATGCCTAGGCCTCCTTCGTCACAGGGGGCACATAGCAAATCCCATGCGACTTTCGAAATAAAGGAATCACCTTCATCTGCAAAAGGCTTCCAGATAAATTTCGCCGCCTTACGTTTCACAATAGTACGCAGTTGTATGCTTAAACCGCGAACTCTACCCACAAACCATAATAGTGCAAAGAGAGCTCCGTTAATTACCATAGCCCTGCCATAAATGGACAGATGGCTTGGTTTGACCCACGAGGTTATCCTTGTTACAACTTTTTGCATCAGCAAAGTATCCTGAGCAATCATGCAATTGGATAATGCTATCTGTACCCCGAGAAAGCGTTCACACTCACCTGCCCTCAGCCTTTTCATACCCCATTCTACTGCAAAGGAGAACCGAGAAGGCAGGATATAAATAGACTTATGCCAATTTATAGCAGCTTCAGAGAGAGAGGCATACTCATCCAAGCAGTCCTTTAGCGCACTCAGGGCAGATTGAGAGTTCTGGACTACTGCAAACAGATCATCAGCCAGGGCCTTGACCTTGTAAGGGGTCGGCCCTGCTTGAAGCCCAATAATTTGAGTATGGGCTCTGATGTTGTTAAGTGCACCTTCCATTTGGAGGGCAAACAACAACGGCGCCAGGGGACAGCCCTGACGAAGAGAACTGGTTAGAGGAAATTCCTCAGAGATCCGTCCATTTATCAATACAGCCGCCGTAGAGAGAGTATACAAGGCAGTTACCCAGGCCAAAATTTTTTTACCAAAGCCCATCCAGTCTAATGTGGAGAGAACATATGACCAGTTGACCCGGTCGTATGCTTTCTCCAGATCTATCAACAGGACGGCCATGTCCAACTGGTTGTCCTGGATGATCTCCAGGGTTTCAATAGTTGTGACAATGTTGTCGAAGATGGAACGCCCTTTGATAAAGGCAGCTTGGTCCTCTTTAACCAAATCCGGTAAATAACGGCCCAAGCGCCTTGCTAGGACTTTGGCAAGAATTTTATAAGAGACATTCAGAACGGAGATTGGTCTCCAGTTTCTGATCTCAGATTTATCACCCTTTTTAAACAATACAGAGATGATACCTCTCGACATGTTGGCTGCTAATTTTCCTCCAAGCAGAACCTCATTATAAATTTCAACAAGACTGTCCCCAACCACATCCCATATTACTAAAAACAGTTCGGAAGGCAAACCATCATCGCCCGGTGCTTTCCCACTAGCCATCGCTTTCAGTGCTTCATGGGCTTCAAGGACTGTTACAGGCCGATCAAGATCTAATTTACCACTCTGCGATAATCTCACGGTGGTGTTATCCCAGTGGCTTGTGGTCTTATAAAGATCAGATCTCACATCCGCCCCCTGAAGGCGGGACGTCAGGATATCCCTGTAGTACAGGGCGGCGTAGTCGCACAAGTGTATGAGGTCTTTAGCCACAGGGGCCAATTGGTCAAAAGGATGATTGAGCTCCTTCATGGAGATCCTTGATTGGCGAGGGAGGAGTTTGTGGAAGGCTTCCTTCGTCATTCTATCGTTCACGACAATACCTCTGACCCGAAGCCTCTCAATCCAAACTTCTGACTCTTTCACTTCAACCTCCTCCCATTCCGCACGGAGTCTCAGTCTTTCTTTGCTCCATACCTTCTCCGAGATCGGATGTTCTAGCATGCGAGACTCAGCATACTGTATGCGTTTCTTAAGAGCCTCCACTTTATGCCTTCTTTGGTACGCCATCAAACGAGAGAAGATATTTAATATATTGGAAAATAACTGAGAGTCGGAGTTCCACCATTCAGCCATAGACGGGAAATTACGCAGATTTGTTTTCCAGTCCAGCCAGAACTGATTCATCCATTCCACCAGCCCTGGTTCCTTCAAATTTACCGTGTTGAATCTAAAGAGGCCTTTACCCCTTGAGGCTACCGCAGTGTGGAGTGAAATAATGATAGGTTTATGATCTGAAAAGGATCCAGAGGATAACCCTACCCTACTAATTGATTCCCACACATTGGAAGAGGTGAGAAAGAAATCTAGTCTCCTCTTAGTAACGCCTGTATTTTCTCTATAGTGAGAAAACCAGGTGTACCCTGGTAGCTCCGGGTGAGATAACCGATATGGGTCGATGAGGTCGAAGGCTTCCATTACAGATAAAAGGCTGAGCTTATCATTGGTTGAACGAGGGGCAGTGGCATCCAAAGTTGTGTTCCAGTCTCCTGCGAACACAAACTTGTCTGCCTCAGGCACAATCAACAACAATTCTTGAAAAAATTGCGACCGGGCTCTACCGTCGACAGGAGCATAAATAGAGGTGAACCCCAAAAGTCTTACAGTTCTTACCAACACCGCAATTGCAGAGGGCATCGGTTGTTCGGGACCAGGGATACTTACCAATTGGGATACTCCATCCGTTGCTGCCCAGGCAACTACCCAAAGGGCATTCCTGGTGGCTGTGCAAAAGAGTGGGAGAATACGATTCTCCACCTGTTGAAGTTGACCACGACCTAGGGAGGTCGGGGCTTTCCGTTTAGCTGCAGAGCTGCCCGACGTCCCTACTTCTTTGATGCGGCCTTGTGAATCTTCTGATCTTGGATTGGATGAAGCTGACCCTTCACTTCTCAAGTCCCCTGAAATGAAGCTACCTTCCAGGTCTAAGCGTCGTTGCTTCCCAGGAGTGATAGATCTCGGTCTCGGTGCTGCCGAGGATGACGCATTTGGTCCCCCTTGAGCCATCGATCCATCCCGGGGGAGCGCCCCCCCTGCACAGTTGCCGGTTCTTAACGGTGAGCCTGACGGTACGCCTGCACCCAAGCCTCCTCCAACTGCTGATGAGGCGACACCGCCTGCACCTCCCAACGAAGGCTGAGGATCACCAGCACCCAGGAAACCTCCTACACTCGGAAAAACTCCAAGTGGTCCCTGTTGAAAAGATGGTACGCCGAAGCTCAACGGAGTTCCTGTTTGTTGATGTCCTTGATGTAGCATCCATGGCAGAAAAGCGTTCCCTGTCCAAGTCTGATAACCTTGGAAAGGACCAGGCTGAGGCTGCGGACCTCCATGAAACCCTTGATTCGCAGGAGAAAAGACTGGGTTGAACTGGGCCGATGCAAAGGATTGGTTGCCTGGTGGGGCCGGTGCTGAGGTAGAATGCAAGGCTGCCATCGAGGGAGACAACCCTAGAGGTCCCATGGGGCCGCTGTACCCTTGACCCGTGAAGGGTTGCTGACCGCCGCCTTGTGGCTGGAGGCTACCTGCCTGTTGTTGTCTTGGATTACGCCGACACTCCGACTCCGTATGGAAGACAGCTCGACAGCGTCTGCACTTCGGAGTGTCTAAGGACGCCAACTTTACTTCAAGACTGTCACCTTCTGCTGTCTCGACCCAGATCTTGTCCTTCATATTAGGGCGAGCAGCTGGATCAAGGTCAAACTTGATATTCACCAGTGACGGCTTGAGGCGGTCAGGCTCTGTAGGATGTGTGCGAGTAACCTGCCCTATCGCCTTCGAAATTTGAGCCTCCAGATAGAAAAATGAATCCAACGGCACTTGAACCGCAATCACCCAGAAGGAAAGTTCGTCCTCTTCTCTCCTTTGCTCTCTCAACTGGACTTTAGACAGCCATGGTTTGAAGTCCAATTTATAGACATTCGCTCCGATTGTAATCTCGTCCCGGGCCTTAAGGACCAACCATGACGCAATCACTCTTGACTTCGCAACGTAGGAAACTACGTTGGGACTCTCCACCTTCACCCTCCCACTGCTGAAGCTTGCGGCCTCGAAACTGCGGTCCTGCACTCTTGCATCTTTGTATGCCCTAACTAAATCATCCTTTACCTTCCTAGGTAAAAATCTTGCACCTTCCCGAAAGATAATGGTAACCGTATGTTCTTTAACCATGCTATCTTGACCCGATCCAATGATACGTTGACTTTGAATCTCGCCTCTCGACCGCCCACCACCATCTCCCCAGGATCTATATTGGAAGGCATTTGACCTTCCATATAGCACAATCGCATCAATTCCCTAAGTCTACTCTCGTCTTCCCTGTCCAACTCCGGGTTGGGCGGGGGGGACCGGGTCTCCCGCATAGTTTCCCCCTCTGCCGGCCCGGCTGACGCCATGACCAAAAGAAACACCAGAGAACAAAGTAATTAATTACCGCGTAAACCAAACTGAGGCTAAACTCGCAACTCAGATGAAAAGCAAAGACGAAGAACAACGGCAGCGTTGGAGGGGGACGGCCGACTTCCCACTATGACACCATACACACACCCAACCGACAGAAGGGAGTGGGATCCTCCGACAACGCGGAGCGAAGCAGGGTCATCTCCACCATGTTGACGTCATGATGGTGTCAAACACAGCTGGTGTAGTAGCCGTCGTTACCGACGACAGAGCGCTTGGTCCGAAACGCGATGCGCCGGCGGAAGCGCTACGGCCGGTCCCCCAATCTTTTTTCCTCTTTTTAACCTTCTCTGTATCATTCCAACTTCCAATTAAAAAAAAAAAAAAAAAAAAAAAAAAAAACCCTTCCAAATTTAACGGATGTCGCCAAGGATGGGGCTATGATGTACGCTACCCTCTTGTTCACCCTTCTAGTGTGGCTGGCTTAGAAAAAAAGGGATCAGGGCTACAGGTGGGGTGCACTATACACTAGAATATATAAGTGGCTTTGTGCTTTGGTATATAAATAGAACATAGAACATAAGAGTACGAGACAATCCCACGCAATGATCACACAAGATGTCCCTAGCAATGATTGAAACTGGTAGTTCTCCTCTTACCGTAGTTAGCCTTCGTCCCTCACACCCGTCTTCCAAGTGTTTTTTTTTTTTTTTTTTTTTTTTTTTTTTTTTTTTTTGGCCCATGCCACCGAGGATTTGCCACCGGGTATTTGTGCTTTGGGACATGCCTCCAAAGGGATTGTTCCAGCCTTGGAGGCATGTCCCAAAGCACAAATCACCGTGGAGGCATGTCCCAAAGCCCAAAGCGCCCTAGAAGACAACTCAATGCTGGCAATGCTACCGTCGTCCTTCCCCAAAATAGAACGTATGGTAATTACTCGTTAGAGAAAACTACGGCGCAGTCAGGGTTTGAGTTTGTAATTGCACTTGAGGCAAAAGGGCCGGTAATGCTGAATGTATATTACCTACGTTTCGGGTCCGGTGGGGTCACGTGGGGGTGTGTTGTATTCGCGGGATTGCCTGAACTGCAATTACAAACTGTTTTCGCGACTGCGCCGAAGTTAACCCTACTAATTATCGTTGTGGCGAGTACTGGCTACTGTGGAAGTTGCTGAAGTTAACCCTACTACTTATCGTTGTGGCGAGTACTGGCTACTGTGGAAGTTGCTCGGAAAAAAAAAGAAAAAAAAGAAGTTGCTCCAGATACAGCTGTAAAGAGGGTACAGTCTATTAGGGGAAGTGTTAACAAGGCTTGGGTGTAGATTCGTTATATCCAAGGGACCTGGGGCTATGTAGATCATTAATATTTATTATGGAATTTTTTATTACCGGCCCGGTGTCCCTTATATTTCAGTGCCAGGAATCGGGGCTGGCATCCCTTACAAAAAAAGTCCGCGGTCCTGATTTAGGGCGAGACATCACCAGTCAAGCCCAGAAACTGGACCGCTACACCACAAACCCTATGCACAAAAATAACACCCAAGAAAACAAATCAACCAATCTCTCTCTCTCTCTCTCTCTCTCTCTCTCTCTCTCTCTCTCTCTCTCTCTCTCTCTCTCTCTCTCTCTCTNTCTCTCTCTCTCTCTCTCTCTCTCTCTCTCTCTCTCTCTCTCTCTCTCTCTCTCTCTCTCTCTCTCTGTGTGTGTGTGTGTATATATGTATCTATCTACCTATCTACCTATCTATCTATCTTCCAACCTAAGCACGAACAGCACCACAAAAGGGATTCTAATCAGCAAAAGCCAAACAAAGCAAAAGAAAACGCCCAAAATAAAAGAAAACCCATCAGGAAACTATTAACCCTAGCCCAATGTCCTCTCTCTCTCTCTCTCTCTCTCTCTCTCTCTCTCTCTCTCTCTCTCTCTCTCTCTCTGTGTATATATGCATATATATATGTATATGTATCTGTCTATCTGTCTGTTCAGACGAAACATTGAGGTAATGCGAGGGCACCATGAATAATTGGTCAGAACAGCGAAGATCCGGAAAACGAAATTGACATCACGCCCGAAGTAGGAGCTGTAGCAACAGCAAAGAATCCCGTTCGCAGCTTGAAGCCCGTTGTCATCGACGGTGGGCGATACTGATCACGGCAAGAATTCATTGATGCCCTGTCCTCCACCATCTCCAGCGCATCATCCCTACAGAATCCCATCTGCTCCTCCCAAGTTTGCTGCAGGCTGCCCTGATAACCAAGAACGGGATAATCCCACAGCGCCTCTGTAGCAAGGACCGAGGGGCAATGCCCCCGATCAGTCTCATCAGGTATGTTGCCGCGCCTAGATTTCGCCAGTCAGTCACCCACACGTCAATGCCCTGCTCTCCTGAACCCACCTGGATTGCTGACAAATAGGCATTGTCAATAGAAACCGGTGGTGGCCAGGGAACAGTCAGGTAGATTGAAGGTTTTTTTTTTTTCTTTCTTTCTTTTTTTTTCGTTTCCTTTCTTTTAAAAAAAACGTCCAGGGTGTGTTGTAGAGGTCTGGACCCAGCATAGGTACCTGTCTACAGTCAGCAACTAATTTATGGGATGCAGATTGTAGATTTGATGTCCTGATCATTGGTTATCAGGCTTCTGTTATGATAGGTGTGTTGAGATTTAAGCCTCTGGAAGTATCATGAAATTGAGGGTAGCAACCCTGATAGGGGCATCGAATAGAGCCATAAATGTCAGCCCCGCCGTCCGCCTCCTGGATATCCAGAAGGCTTTTTGCATTCACATCAACAGGCCTCCACAACATTCATTCCACTTTTCCAGGTGGCCCAAAGTAGTGGACGGTGGGAGGGGGTAAGGGGGAGGGGGTACGGGGGAGGGGGCAACCCAACCCCTCCACTGGCAACTGTGGAAAGGACCTCATATGGTGAGGTAGCAGGAGTAAGGGTCGGACCCTACTGCGGTGCAGATGGAAAAGACGTGTGGCCACGAAAAGTGGGCAAGTTGTTTTGGAAAGTTGGAAAAGTATTTTTTCGGGACCCCACCGCGGAGTGCGTTTTGCGGCAAAGAGGTATTTTTTCTTCCGTAAAAGGAATGTTTGGTGCGTGAAGTCCGAAAAAGGAAAGTGGTTGTTGTCCGGGAGGCCGTGGGTGGACCTCAGGAAATGGCCGTGCGACAATCCGCTCCAGGGTCACATGTTCCACCGATGTCGGACAATGCATGGACGAACAATCTGGGGTCCGTCCACGGGACCTGTTTTTTTTGGGAAAAGTTCAAGACGGCTCAGGGGGTCAACCTCGGCTTTTGGCACAAATTTGCGGCGTGATTTCCTCCGTTTGCCGTTTTCCAGACCGCGGACGATGTGAAAACGTCCGCAGGCGATCTTCCAGGCCACGAAATGCGGGCTGTGGCATCCCGGAATACGGTTTTTGGAAGACATTTCGGCCTTTCCATAATCTTTTCCGCGAGGTGTGGGGTCCCGGCGCGGCAAACTTTTTCCTTTCCGCATTCCTGTGGGGTCCGACCCTAAGTAAGGGAAAAAATAGGACACTTGGGCAAAGCGTAGTTTCTATTTTAGGGAGCCCTGAGACAGTTCCCTTATGAGGTCACCACTTGCAGTTGGATCTCATCAGCACTTTGGCCCTCATTACAGATGGGAGATATCTCCTGAGCGCTTGGGCGATCGGTATATAGATGGGTTGGCCCTGTAGGTGGTGACCAAAATGGTATCCAAGGCGGAAAAAATAAAAAAAAGGAATAATTTGCGATATAAACCCCAAAGACAAGATATATTATGCTAAAATGCCCCTAAAGTGGGTAGAGCGGAATGCCCTTTTGGCCCATTTGCGATATACCCCCCAAAGATGAAATATATGCTAAAATGCCCCTAAAGTGGATAGAGCCGAATGCCCCTTTGGGTTTGGCCCATTTCTGATTTGCCTCTCTCAGGCAGATGTGGAACTTTGTGTTGTGCACCGGACCCCATACGGCCAGGACTGCCCTGTTAGGCTCTTTTTGCTGGTGTACCCATCTAGGGGCTGGACAATTTTGAGAATCCCGAGGGCCATTGGGGCGGTAACGTGATGGAATGGAACAGTGATTCCAAAACTAGCACGCCACTGGATCACATTGAGAGAGAGAGAGAGAGAGAGAGAGAGAGAGAGAGAGA